CCACTTCGCACCTCGTCTTTCCCCCTGCTTCTCTCCATATTACATAGCGAATGGACACACTCACACACATATCCTGTTACTCGTATTCCCGTTTCCACACTGTTTCTCCATTGGATCGCCTCTTGCTGTTTCCCGTCTGTCTGTTCTGCACACATACATTGTAATACTCACATGGATCTTCTCTCTCGTGGACATGCATGTCAATGCAATGGCTCACACATACACAAAAGTTCGCATGTATAATCCCCAGCTGGGCTCTTTGGTGAATTCATTCACGAGCTCTAGATATAGGGTAGAAAAATGGGATAGAGTTGGAAAAACTACTATGAGTCATCTCTCCGTTTCTTTTTTGTGCGCCCTTCTTTCCCTAAGGACAACGCAGGGACGGACACAGAAGATAGTACACCTTCCACGCTTTCTGCTTCCTTTTGCCTCTTCTTCTTCTTTTTGCTAGGCTTCTCGTTGCCCAACGGATCGGATAACACTGGAGCGAGGGGCTGAGGAAGCATAGACTCTGGAGTGTCTAGGATGACCTCCTCCAGAGGTTGCGCAACCGCAGCGACTGGATTCTTAGCAGCCCGAGCGGCTCGCCTAACCTCCCTGGCCACTCGTCGTCGTGCGCGATCCTCGCGACGGGCTTGTCGCTCAGCTTTTCGAGCTGCTCGGTCATCATCATCACGACTAGGGTCAACGACGAGATGAGAACCCTCTTGCTGTTGCTCAGAGTCTCGCTTTCGCTTTTTGGCCTTCTTCGGTGGCAGGGAAGAGGGTATTGATGATGAGAGGTCGGGTATTGAGGTAGAGGAAGATGACGCGATGGGTTGGAGAAGTGGGGAAGCTGGAAGTGGAGTGGAGGTGGTGGTAGTGGATTCTGAAGGAATGGAGGATGAAACAGGTGTCGGTGCAATCTCTGGCTCGAGCTCTATGTTCGTTACGACAGGTCCTCTGTAGAATCTGGAGTATAACTGACGCTTGGCAAGATCGCGTTTGGCATTTGCGAGTATGCTAAGCCGAGGCGCAGAGTCTGATGATGGATGAGCTGAGACTCCAGTCGTTGGTCTCCTGTTAGATATTATCCCCGTGCTCGTGCGTTTTAGAGCGTCGGGTGATGCATCACTCTGTAGAAAGTGAGCATCGAGGTGGCCGAGCAAAATTTCAGCAAACACGAGAAAGAGTGGCAACGGGAAGCGAGACTCACCGATTCATCATCAGAGCTAGTATCAGAATCATTATCCACTTTGAGCTTTATAGTGCTCAATGAAGTAGCATAGACGTGTTCCCAGAACGGAAAGGCTTCGTCCCGATCTTTGCCCAGCCCCGAGAGCGTGCGTTTTTGAGTGACAGTCAGGGGCTTTGCAATCCCCCCGGAGCGCAACGCATTTCCTTTTCCCTTCCAGCCACGTTTTGTGAGGTACGCATGGCCGTCGAGCATTCCGCCAGGGTGGAGGCGTCTCTCTCGCTGCAGAAAATCCGGGCAGTCAAGAGATTAGAAGGCCGTGCGAACCGCTGAGATGAGCACGCCATTCCTCCTGTCAACTTCGCACTGGCCGGCATTATACTGTCGTATTTCCCCTCAGAGGGCCCATTATCGACGACTGTAACATGGACGGAGACGATGAACCCACCGGGGACGTGATGACGCCTCTGGATGCGACGCTAGATCGCATCGGCATGGGCTACTACCAATGGAGTCTGCTTGCGCTCTGTGGATTCGGTGAGTCATCAATTCGCCTCCTTATCGCCAAACTCTCTTACCCATTCCTAATCCGTGGTCGCTATGATTTAGGATGGCTCGCCGATAACGTGAATTCCTTGCTTCCTATCTATCGTCAAACTTTGTGCTCATGACAGGCGGTCACCACCTCCTAGATGTGGATGGAGGGTGTGGCCATTGCTCTTCCTCGCGTCCAAGATCACTTCAACATGACCGGTCAGCAAGTCGGAGTACTATCATCCTTCTTCTTCTGCGGAATGATGTTTGGAGCGGTGGTATGGGGAAACTGTGAGTTTAATATATATCTCAGTGGCCCGGAGGCGAATCATGTTAATTTTGGAGGACGGGACCACCAGGCTCGGATGTGCTGGGCAGACGAGTCGCTTTCAACGCTACCCTTGTTCTGTCATCTCTTTTCGGCCTCGTTGTCAGTATCTCGCCCAGCTTCACCGTTTTAGCTGCATCATTGCTGCTTCTCGGCTCTGCAGTGGGGGTATGTTGGCTTTAGCTCTATGGAAAGCCTCTATCACTGAAGGTCCCTCTCTTTCTAAAGGGAAGTATCCCGACCGACGGCACTCTCTTTGTAGAGAACCTCCCGAAACGCAAGCACTGGTTGCTCACCTTCCTGTCTGTCTTTTTCTCCCTTGGCGCGCTCCTTACTGCGATTGTCGCAGTGATCGTCATTCCTGGTCACTCTTGCCCCGAGGCTGCCCCAGGATCATCTGAACGCCCTCCTTGCGACGTCGCGTTGCAAAATGCCGGCTGGAGATACATGTTTGGTGGGCTCACCTTGATTGTGAGTACTGGGATCAATGCCTTGTGCTCGTGCTGTTTATATCATTGCGTAACAGACGGCAGCAATGTTTGTGGGGCGGATATTCCTCTTCCATCTCCATGAGTCGCCCAAGTACCTTGTGCATACTGGTCGACCGGAGGACGCAGCCCTTGTTCTGCGTGCAATCAGCAAAGTTAACGGGACCCCTCTCAACATCACTGTTGAGGACGTACGCGACACTTTAACTGAGTCACCTGTACGCCTAGATCCTGCCCTTTAGAATCTGAGATACTAAACCCAACCCGCTTTTCATCGTTGCTCATACTAGACAACCTATGACGGGGAGCCACTACGAACGCGCAGTGAATCGCAGTCATCACGGGGTTCCCGTTCTCTTGGGTCAAATGATAAATTTAGCCGCTTGGATACGCTGCGAAATGGGTTGACTGCATGGTACCGACTCAGCTCGGCCAGTCTTGTCCCAACATGGAGGCGGACGACAGTCTTGATGTGGGGTATATGGATGACCACCTCAGCAGGCGAATATTGATCAATGTTTCGCTGAATATGCAGGCTGACGTTTGATACAACAGGATATACGTTGTTCAATCTATTCTTCCCCAAACTCGTTGAGCTCCGACTTGGGACACATCAAGAGGGCGGCTCTGTAAGCCAGGCTCTTTGGAACGTGGTCATATACACTCTAGGCGGAACGCCAGGCTCTCTAGTGAGTCAACTTTGATGCCATCAAGGAAGTCACTCGTGACCGGTGTTAAATAGATTGGAGCCTGGATGGTTGAAACTCGTCTAGGGAAGCGCAAGTCGCTGGCGATCAGTACTGGGCTCACGGGCATCTTCTGCTTGCTCTTCAGTGTGACACCAAGCAATGCGGGGGTTATGATCACCTCGGTTGGAGTCTCGCTCACGTCTACTATTATGTGGGCTATCCTTTACGGGTACGTATACTTTGGTACCGTCACTACGACGTTCGCTAACATTGAGCTTGCAGTATGACACCACAGATGTTTGTGACGGAAGGTATGGAAAGCAAAGTAATTGATTCGGCAGATGACTAACGCTTCTCGCCTATGTTCAGTACGAGGCACCGCGTGTGGCAATGCGTCGGCACTAAACAGAGTGTAGGTCATCCCTACAAGCCTCGTTCTCATACGAATCTAATCTTGTTCATCGATGTAGGGCTGGGATTATTACCCCACCGTTAGGAGGATTCCTGCTCGACCTAGACGTCTCCTTCCCTACCTACACTTCTGCCTTAGCATTCATTGTTGCCACCGTTTTTGCTTTAGCATTGCCATATGAGTCAGCTGCAGACCTAGAAGCATCCGAGCCATCAAGAGGTTCTGCATATTCATTACTACATTAAGATAATGCACGCTTTCTCGCACTATCCACATTTTTTCTTTTGTTCGTCTCTACATTAATTCCTCACATGGGAGGCTTTACAATGCCTTTGCTAAGTTTGTAATACACAAGAGACGAGTCATCAGCAACTATGCCCACCCAGATCTCCATCGGAGTAGGATCTTGGTTTGCGAATACGGTGTTTAGCCTATAGCCAGGATGCTAAGCAACTGCTGCCTCGATTTATGGGGATGGTTGGACTTACCATTCGATAGACAGGTTCTCTGCCAAAGAACAAGGGACGACGATTCGGGTGCCTTCCTGTCATTCAGCAATGCGGTAGATGAGTCGCCAACAAAATTGGGTAGCAGATAAGACATTTCCACACCTCTGCGCTTTTCTTCCCCTTCAAAATCCCTCGTGAGAGTGCAGGAAGGTCCTCAACAGTTACATCGATCCACTGTTGTGCTGGACGAGTAGAGACGGGAAGACGGGTAAGATACCTCATTGTGCACGCAACCGGTAAAACGGAGACCGACTGTATATGATGTCGTTGTAGACTAGGAATAAACTTTGTGCATGTCGAGGATATTTTACACATAAATCTGAGAGTGCAGGATACTGTTGTAGAAGGGAGAGGTAAGAAGAGGCTGATCTTCACACATAAACTGAGCGCAGTGATTTACAGAGACGTGGCTCTCCATTACATCAAGGTCCTCTGTGTTAGTAATGATGTAGGGAGTGGATCGGCGAATCGTAACAAACAAGTCATGGGCGTCCAAACATGACCAAACACGCTCGAGATGATTTGCCCCAAACACCACCCGCCTTACGCAGGACAATAATATCCCCTCAGCAACATGGCTGCCTGTAGCCTCTCAGAATATAGGAGGGCTCTACTATATAAGCGAATTGGTGAACGGAGCAGTGTCCGTTATTCCAGTAGAGCTCTGGAGAGCTCTTGGGCGTCCTAGCATTACTTGAACTTCACAAATAGAATCTAGCGGGCGTTTGCTATGCGAAACTCGATTTGTACTGGACAATAGAGTATAATAAATTCGTTACAAGTGATAAAATGTGATTCTTTCGTTCTTGATTGGACCGAGGCAATCCCAACCATCATTTGATCAAACACGAGCAAAAATGTCATGGAGAAACGGGGGATTGAACCCCGGGCTTTACGCAATAAGCCAGATCATGCGAAGCGTACACTCTACCACTGAGTTATTTCCCCGTGAAGCGAGCGGGATCGCCAATCAGCACTCAGGTTTTTGGCTTCAGTAACCTTCCGAGCTAATTCTATCTAGTCCAAAGAATATCCACGCGCCCATATTAAATGCTACCCAAAAATATATGAGGCACGGTGAATAAATCCCGCTTTTCATTATCCCCTCAATGAAAGGTATTCAGGTTTCAGAAGCCAATTCTTTTGTTGTGCATTGATCACTTGTCGATCTTGCTTCCAGTTGAGCGCGTAAACAAAAGACATAGGTTTACATAAACTCACGGCATTATGCACGCTGAAACGATAGTGAATCTTATCTGCAACTCGCTGTTGCTGGCACAAAAGATCTGAACATGGATCGGCCTCTCCCACACCATTTGCCGGGCTAACCTACCTGTCACACCTCTCAACTGATCAGCTCCAGATCTTCCACCAAAAACGCGATAGCGATTTTCATATCTAATGTAAATTTTCTGAAGTGCACATAAAAATGATGCTTGTGCGCCTGGAAACTAAATCAAGTGTAGCTATCTCTTCAATTACGGCTAACAAATCAGAACCCCTTTTCGGCATTGAACCACGCCTGGAGCATAGTAAGGGCCTCAGTGGGCTTATCGTACGGCACCTGTACAGGAAAATGAGTCAGCGAGTGGGGTAATACTTCAAGTATCGTGCATACCATATGACCAGCTCCCAGGATGGTTGTGAAAGTGAGGCCTTTCGCGTTCTTGGTCGCTCCTACTACCTTGCCGTCTATCTTCCATTCAACGGTTTCGGCTGCAGCGAAATCGTCATGCCCGGACCATTCCAAAGCCTCAACCCAGCGCTGATTGCCCTTCCAGTTGCATATCCAGTCATTCACACCTTTGAGATGATGGTGCATTCAGTGTCTCGTCATTTGTGGAGAGCCATGCGGATACTCACCGACGTAAATCAGAACCCTCACGCTACGCTCGAGAAGAGCGGCGACATAAAACTTGGTTTGGTGTAGCGAATCGAGGTTCAGGCTGAACGCCATCCCCACTTCGTTATTACAGGAGGCGTGGCGCCCGATACTCTTATCGACTCCCAATACAGCTCGGATGTGTGGCTGGTCGAGATACGTGGAGATGTCTAGAGAGATGAACGCGTTCAACACAGAGACAGATCTTCTGAGGACGTGTTTCTCCTACTTTTTGTCACAGGATAACCTGTAGCATTGGTTTCATGGTTAGATTTGATACAAGTTGTTATAGTAGGGCTAGGCAACGTACACAAGGTCTCAATACCTCCATCACAGGGCTGTGGGGAACAGGATGTCAGCGAGCGGAACCTAAGTCTTCACAATGACATGCCTTTGAAAGGTCATAGATGTTCTTGCCTAAGGATAGATAGATATCAGAACCAAGAGGCGGAGCTAATTCGCACTCGATCCAAGCTCACCTGTGGACCAAACGGCGTCAAAGAAAAGGCTGCCGCAGAATGTTGCAGCGGCGTCACAGCCGATGGCGTCGAAGCGATCGATGCATTCCTTCTTGTACCATTTCTCGCATCGCGGCAGCTAGAGGAAAGTAACCAGCACTGAATTGCTAGTGCCAATTATCTGACAAATGTGCTGTGCTGCTCACCGCCGTCTTCATTGCGACACAACTAGCAATGTCCAGAGGAGGTTCGACCGAGGCCTGGGTGCAAAGCATATCATGATACGCTGGGAACATGGTAGCAGTATCGGTCATTCCGTTGCCAATCAGCACAGATTTGAGGTTGATCGCGGTCCGGTTTTCAGCCTTAGCGCGAGCGTTGCTGTCGACGATGGCGGAGGCAAAAACAGGAATATAGCGACCCTAAGATGCGAGAGTCAGTTTTTAGACCTATACTACGTGAAGGGGAAATGCGGCCGAAATACCCCGTATGATTCGCCTGGGCATGGTCAATCGTCAGTAATCTGGACTTGGCAATGCATCGTTGACTGATTCCTCACCAGACATATGGAAAGGCCTTCCTTTGAATTGAGAAAACGTCTCGAAGAACAGTTGCACGAACGCATCAACGTCTTTCGCCGCATCTTCGGTGGTTCCGATGGTCTGCCCATACTCAGCGTACGAGAAGCCTACGCCGACACTGGTAATCTCATTAGGATGGGCGAAGAGGTGAATCAAGCATGATACTTACGGCTGGTCAAGGAAGAACAGGTTCGCGTTCGTATTCCATGCGGAAGGATTCCACTTGGTCCCATTGAGTCCAGTTGCCAAGGGATTCTCAACAGAGCAAGGCCTGCGCAGGATAAGGATCAGAGGAGTGCTGGGCTACTAAAAAGCACGGAGGATTCATACCCGAGCTCCATGAAAAGGCCCAGGGACGAGCCTGCGGAATGGTATTGGTTATCATTTTGGCATGAGTGCCAGAGTAAGTATCAAGGCCACATACTGCATCCAGGTCCACCGTTGATCCACATGAGCACATCGTCGTTGTCAGGGTCGTTCCTGCTTTCGAAGAAGTAGAAGAAGAGATGCTTTGTGCCATAGCCAACATCGAGATAACCAGAGTAGCTGTTCACAGTATGATCGCAGAACTCCTTGGGAGATTGCTTGATACGAAGCGCATAGGAAGGCAAGTTGGGGTGTGTGAATGTTGTAAAATCGTTGGCGGACAAGCTGTTCAGCGAGATCTCCTCAGAGCCAGCGACAATTGAGCCTTTGGACTGGATGTAGCCAAGAGGATGTTCAGTGATTCCACCCAAAGGCAGCTGTGAAGCGCTGCCCAGCGAGCTCAAGGATAGAGCAGCAGCGCTCAGAGTGAGCAAACGTTGGAACATGGTGGGCGGTTGCAGGAGGACCGGTTATCTGACCGACGCGACTCGGACAAGCATGCGCTACCGTAGCGTGTGACGTTTCGTTCCCGATGCGTAATGTAATTGTCCGCCACTATGGGGGGCCAGCAATCGGCCCCCAGAGAATGGACGATACCCTTCCTGTCTTCCCTCGAGTTCCGTCAGAGAGCATCTGTGGTCAATGAGCTTGAAAGGTCTCCATGGGCTCTCATCGTTTTGAATACACAATGCACATCTAGCCTCCTGAAGCTTGTCTGGGATTTCTGTAAGTTTTACTGTCCTTTTATGCGTACTTTCCTGGGCTCACAGAAAAAATCAACCAAAGGTCAAGTACGCTATTGCGCTGATGGGGGGTGTAATCGAGTCTATGATGCGCTGGAGGAACATGAGCGTAATCTGTGAGAAACTGACAACTTGTCTTCGATCCTTTTTTTGGTCTCTCTTCTGAACTGAATATACAGATTCCTCCCCGATGCTATTAAAGGAGATCTTGACTCGGCAAGACCAGATGTACTCTCTTTCTATGCTAGTAAGGTGAGTTACCCATTGTAGCTCCGACGTCTTGCTACAGCCACTCATCGATCTATCAGGAGGTAACAATCATCCAGGACAAAGATGAATACTCGACGGATCTAATGAAGTGCATATCCCTCCTCAGCGAAAAGGAAGAAGCATCGGGTTTGAAGGTCAGCCTAATCGTCATGATTTGCCCACTCAGACGATGAAATGCTTGTGTCGGTGGCTATAGTACAATGTCCTACTATTGGGCGGCCTGGGTGGTCGGTTGGACCAATCCATTCACTCTCTTTCGTACCTACTGAAGCAGCGCACCATTCGCCCCAATATGATGGCTGTGAGCGAGGATAGCGTGGCTTGGGTGCTCGATTCCGTAAGTGTGGTTGTGGTAATTCTTTTCCTCTTCTATGCCGCCCGTCCCTCACCATATGCAACTCCAGGGAGAACATATCTTGCACGTAGATCTTAGTCTCCTGGGGCCCACGTGTGGCTTGCTCCCTGTTGGCGTCTCAAAGACTCGACTGACCACTGAAGGGCTGGAGTGGAATCTCAGTGCGTCAATTTATATCAGACCAACTCAACGCATAAGCTGACTTCCATCTCGTGCTGCCCAGCTGACCATGAATCCTCTATGGAGGGTCTTCTTTCCACCTCCAACCATGTGATCGACGATGTCGTCAAGATTTCTACTACTGAGCCGATCGTCTGGACTGTTGCAGTCAAACAGCTCTCTTGAAGAATTTGTGGGGAGATCATTTAATATGGGAGGTCCTCAGTTATCCACATTCCTCTCTCTCGCCGCGCGGCAGGGCCTTCCCCTTCCTACCCGAGGCCTTGAACACCCCCGGCCCACCATGTTGGCCTCAACCTTCGTCGTGTACCTCGTAATGCGTATAATAGTCCTCGCCCTCTGTCACACTTTCCAATTAGATATCAATTCTCGGCCTGACCATATAAATCCATGAACTTTAATGGACCTGTGGATTGGTTGACATTGGAAATTATGACATTCCGTCTCTAGATGCGCGAGCTTATGGAGGGACAAGTCACACGCACAGTGACATTCCTCGAGGCGCATTTGATCCTGTCCTTTAGTCCCAAGAGCGAAACCTGAACCTCCCTCGCCTTTACGTGTCCCAAAGCATCTTGGTCTCACTCATAAGCACGATGCCGCCCAAAATGAGCAATGCGCAGTTCAAAAATCGCCTCGCGTATGATGCTGGCACACAGCCAGCGTTCCTCCGTGCCCTGCAAGCTCGCATTAGTGGAAAGCCTGACCCGACTCTCGGCGGAGGAGACAGGGACGATGAAGATGCTGAATGGGAACAGCTTGATGCCGGCCGACCAGCTATTCCTCGACGGCCTGACGCTCGTGAAGAAGATGACACCCGGAGACCAGAGGACGAAGACGAGGAGGATTTTGATGACGAGAGACCTACTGTCGTCGTGCTCAAAGAGGGGAAGCACTTAACTGAGTGGGAAGTTGAGAACGAAAAGAGAAAATGTGAGTTGCATTGTTCCTGTTTTGCCCCTTCGTTTGCTCGTGCTTTCCTCCTGGATGGTACCTCTCTATCCAGTTGACTTGGAATATGAGAGTATATCTTGACACTCCAGTGCTAACGCATTCTTCCTTTGCTCCTTCTATCCCTGGCACTCTATCTCTCACGATCACCCGCCGCAGTAA